ATTTTGCTTGCACTTAATAATCATACCTAAATGATAAAAATTAGAGTAAGTCTGAGCTAACAAAAAAGAGGTAAAAATGCCAGGAAATTATGTCTACTGAAAGCCATTTATTTTCTCTTATGTATGTACTGTGATTTTTTGTTATTTTAAAATAACTGCCTACTAAAGTGGAAATGTGATTTTTAAAATTTAAAAATATTATGTGTCAATTTAATCACTTTAATTAAAACATGTCTCCTTTTTTTTTTAAATGACCAGGACAATAACAAAAAGAATAAGGATCCAGGCTTATTGTAGTAAAGAAAATATGTCCTTTTACAGGAATGCATTATAGTTACTTAAAAATATTTAATGAATATTCCTGACCTTAGCTATTTTTTTCTCCTATTCCAGGTACACCATCAATTTATTGACCCCTGGCTGATTCTCAAATTTCTTGAACTATGCAGGCCAAACTTTCTTACCATGATGCTATTTATAGAATAAAATAATAAAATTGTTAGGAGTATAGCAAGGTGAGAGATAGGGGTGTTATTTGCCTACAACGTTTCCTTCCTGCCCGCCTGATTATTTCTGAATTAGGTATAGAATATCTCAAATTATTAGTTAGAGAGATAATACAATTTCAGTGCTGACTAAGTCGTAGAGATAATATAATCTAATTTTCTCAAATTTTGCAAGGAAATTATTAATTCAAAACATTTTAAATGGCTCACTGTTTTAAAACTAGTAAGTTTCAGAAATTTCACTAGAGCACAAACTTTCTGATATCCAGTCTAGCTTTTCTTTTCTTTCCCCCCTAAGTTCATAGAGTCTCAAACTCATGAGTATGTATGAGTGAATCTGGCATCAGCAAAGTTAAAAGTTAATATTAAAGGCTAGTAAATTCAGTCATTCTTCCTCCAAGTCTTACACCTAAGCAGGAATATGTACAATATCTGGGAACCTATTAGCATTCAGTATGCATCTGTGTGTTAGTATTAGTTAAATGTATCTGCTGAAAGATCAATTTGTTATTACTTTGTTAGGCTGCTTGTTTATTTATTTATTTATTTTCTACTTAAAACAATTAACCCTAATGTTCTCGTATTTCTTCTCTCCTGATAACTAAATCAACACAAACAAGTACAGAGAGGTCATATTTGAAATCTAAAGTTCAACAGAGAATCAAGATGAGATTCATATAAGGATTACAAGAGCAAAGCCTAAAGAGTTATTTTAATATATCCCAGATTTAATAATAATAGCCAAGATCAAGAAAAATCTATGAGAAATCTAAGGGGATTTACCAGCTTAGAATAATTTTGCCTTCATTAAATCCCAATTACAATTCTCACTAGTTACAGCAACATAAGTAAATGAAGAAGTAGTGGTGTAAGGATGCCTGTTAGATTCCTTTTTGACTAAAACATGACTCAGATAAACATATCTGTTAAATATAGTGAAAAGCAATAAGCTTCGTTCTAGAAAGCAGGGCGTCAGGTTTTCTACTAAGTCTCAGAGGTCAAAAGACAAATCACTTGATCTTGCTATTTTTCACTTTCCTCATCATTAAAATATGAGTAAAATACTTATTGTAACCTACTTCACAAGTTTCCTGTAAGAATCAAATGAGATAATATGTGAGAAAGTTCTTGGCAAAGTTGAAAGGCTGAATTAATTAATTTGAATCATCACCATTTATTTTTAGATAAAATTCTTATCAGAAGCCTTGAAGAAGTGTGGTCACAATATTTCTCTGTAAGATTAGGAATGTGTCTGAGAATTTCAACAGGCCATATGAAATGGTGGGATTCATTTGAGGTTTAAGAAACTTCTAGATGTAGGTTGAACAAACTGGAAATGAACTTCTCAGCTCCATAGTACTTTTGAGTTTTGCTATTATTGCATTACTCCTTTGGAGAACTGAGAGATCAGAAATAGGGGTAATTTGGCCAAATGCAGTTGTAGTAATTTTTTTTTTTTTTTTTT